ATGGACCTCTGGGACATTTTTTTTATGTTTATTTTTCAGATTGTTATGTCAAGTTTGTGCATTTTTTTTTATTGAGGTTCATTTAGGATTATTCTGTTATGTGGGTTGTTTATATCTCATTTGTTTGGATGGTATTGATTAGGGTTGGTTTTGTCATTTATACTTGTGACTTGCAATTGGATTGGGTTTTGATTTATTTATTTTTGAACTATTGTTACATTTATTCTTTGTGATATTGGGTTCACGTTTTGGCTTACGTGTGCCTTGGGCTTAGTCCCTGTGAGCCATGATTGTTCATGCTTGGATTTAGGGTGTGACATTCATACATTCATTACAGACTTCCATACAAAGCTTAAACACAAAAGTATTATTCATGATCTTACAAAACTTAAACTTCTTATAAGCAAAAGAGGGTTTGGTTAGGGCTGTTCAAAAATCCGTTCAAACCGGTAATCCGGACCGAACCAGACCGAATTATACGATTTGGTTCGGTTCTATTAAAAATTGGTTCGGTTACGGATTAAGAAATATGAGAACCATAAAAACGGTTCGGTTAATGGATTTTATGAAAAAACCGCGGTTCGAACTGAACCGAATCGAATTTAAAAAAAATAAAAATAAATATATATATATATAATATCAAGTTTTATTTTTATTAATTGATTTTTTATAATTTTAATGATATTAGGATGGTATATATATGTAATATTAAGTAATGCCTTAATATTATTAGTTTTTATCATGAGTTAAATGTAATTAGTTTGAATAATTATTTTGCTAATATTAATAAATTATTCTTGTAAATAGAAATTTTTGGAACTGTAAACCAAACCGAAACCGAACCATTTTTTCGGTTTGGTTCTGGTCCGATTTTACAAGTGTAACGGTCTGGTCTGGTTCTCAAAATCATAGAACTGTTAGGATTGGTTTGGTTCTTGGATTTTCTCAGAATCGAACCAATCCGGACCGTGTACACCCCTACTTCCCGTTGCTTACCTATATACATATAAATACAGAGTAAGCTAACTTTCTATGAATAACATCAGAGTAAAGGGGTTCTGTGAATGGATTCTTTTAAGTAACATATGAATTTCCATATCATAAACAATTCATAACGAAATGACCTTGGGTCCAACAGATAGCAGAACAACCTTGGGTCCAACAGATAACAAATGTACATAACAGAATCGGTCATATGTTAACGGAACGACGTTGGGTCCTGTCATACCCAAAATCCAAGCATGACGACCTTAGCCCACAGGGACTTAGCCCCAGGCACACGTAAGCCTAAACACGAACCCAATATCACAAAGAATAAATGTAACGATAGTCCAAAAATAAATAAATCAAAACCCAGTCCAGTTACAAGTCATAAGTATAAACAGCAAAACCAACCCAAATCAATACCATCCAAACCAATGGGATATAAACATCCCACATAATAGAATAATCCTACATTAACCTCAATAAAAAAAAAAATATGCACAAACTTGACATAACAATCTGAAAAATAAACATATATATATATATATATATGAATGTCCTAGAGATCTATGTAATTGAGTGCCCACTATGCCATGAGTCCACTCTAAGTCCTTCTATCACCTGGAAATGATAAACAACTAAGTCAGCTAATAGCTCAGTGAGTAGCAGCATGGATAGTAAATACATTTTTGAAAAACAGGGTTCAATTCCAAAATAAGATATATATCACAGAAACTAAATTAGCATATAGTTTTGATAAAGACAATCTGTTTCAAAAAAAAGGTTCCACAGTTCAACAAATAAAATATTCATGTCTCTCAAGAATATAACAAATGACATTCTCCACTTAAAACAAATTACAACATGATCATCAATAATTTTATGGATACCAAGAATAACAAGTAACACGCCACAAAGTTCTCAAGGCAATAAGCCCGTTGGATCCAATATCTAACCAAGAGTCATCCTCAAGGTGGCAATCTGGGCCTTTTCTATAAGACGATCTGATTGAAGGTCACCAAGCCTAGCCCACGTCTGTTCCTCACAATCGTTGAGCACTAGAGTCATCACTGCCCAACCCAAATCTGTTTCGTAGTGGCCAAAGTCACCACACACAGTGGAATAATTTCCCTGGACTTTTATATACAGATGGTCCCAATAATCTATACAATTCAGTTTCGCAAAACATGGTAGTTCACCATTATAAACATGAGGCCATAACAAATAGTTTGCAGTATGCGAAGTTTACACATATTTTAGAAATAATTTAATTCCATTGATAATATAATAATTTATCAAAAACAGTTTAGTCCCGAGATAACAATTTAATTTTTCAACAGTTTAGGGTAGGGAAACATTTATAAAAATATGTAGCATGTAACTACTTACTTGAACACAGTATAATATAATCCTCAAACTGAATAGGAAAGTCCAACTAGTGCCCTAAACTGAGTCCGAAAACTACATGTTACTAGTAACTCAAAATTACTAAAAAGAACAATAAACTTAGTAACCCTAAGCTAAATCACACTATCACGGCTCATCCAACTCACCGTTACTATTAATTAATACCTACGTTCATGTTCTTCAAGGTCTAAAATTATCCAAGACATGAGTTCAGATCGAAACTTAATTAAAAGTAACCTTAAGATAAAATAGAATTTTAAACAAGTTTTCTCAATCTATTAGCTAAATTTGAAAATTAAAAACACACTCCACGCTGTTAGAAAAATTCCAAAACCCTCCGGATATCAATTAATATATCCTAAGTTTCAAACCCAAATGGTTTTACTTGATTTGCTTACGAAAATAATTATTTACAATTAATTATATCCAAACAGATCACTTTCTACAACACGATACAGAAATTAATGGTTCTCTTAGTATACCCGAGCAATCAACACAAGGACAAAAAAGTATGAAACTAGACTCATAACCAGTTCTAATGACACTAATTTAATAATTTTTTGATTTATACCCAAAGAGAGCGACACTTCCGAAGTTACTGTTTTGTGCTAGTTTCGTAGACAGATTTGAATGCATCAGTTTATATGGATTTTGACTTCCAAAAATTATGAAAAAGTTCTAATATGAAATTCAATATGTAATAAATTTACAGGAAAATTTTTAGTTCAAAATTCCTTCGTTTAATATGGCTTCTTGATTTTTAAGGTTTGTGATTATGTGTAGAATTTTTAGATTAAGAATTACACCCATTATTCATGCACAAACTAGCTCCTTAGGTTTGTTAAATATATATACATACAAAATGCATACACCTACAACCTCTACATAAATGAATTGAATAAAAAAATTGAATAAGGATTGAAAAACAAAGCAAGAAGAGAAGAAAACTTAAGAGGCCACACGACACAACACACCCAAAGCTCTTCTTCTTGGCTACAAAAATAATCTTGATGATTGAATCACTCCAAAACCCCTCTCTTTCCTTCATAAACCAACGGCTGCTAGGGCTGCTAGTGTTGTGAAAAATGATTATAATATGAGTTAGGGTTTTTGTTATCTTTATATACATAGCCAACAATCCACTTATTATTATTATTATTATCTAACATTATTACTATTATTTATTGTAATAATAAATCTTGCCTCTAAATTAGAGATTTTCACTATAAATTTATTTTATAGTTTAAAATTAATAAAAATACCCTCCAATAGTATTTAATTTACACTTTAAGATTCACAAACAAAATATTTGAGATTATAAAATTATTATTATTTAATTATATACTTTATTTTTATATTTGGGTTCTCACATTCTGTCCCCTATAAAAGAAAAGTTTCGTTCTCAAAACTAACCTGAGCAAATCATGATAGTGGATATGGGTACTTCTCACGCATCTCGTCCTTGCTTTCCCAAGTTACCTCTTCAACTAGATGATTACGCCACAGTACCTTAACCAATTTAATGGTCTTTGTACGTAACATTTTCTCTTTCGAATCCAAGATCTGAATAGGTATCTCCTCATAAGAAAAGTCCTCCCTAATCTGAAGTGGCTCATAATGTATCACGTGCAATGGACTGTGCGCATATTTCCTTAGTATAGACATGTGAAACACATTATGCACTCCTGCCAACCTAGGGGGTAAAGCAACATGTTACACAACCTCACCAACCATCTCTAATACCTCAAATGGTCCAATGTATCTAGGACTCAACTTTCCTTTCTTTCCAAACTTGATGACTCTTTTCCATGGTGATACTTTCAAGATACCATATCCCCTACATGAAACTCTAAATCTCTCTTATGATGATTAGCATAACTTTTTTGTCTACTCTGAGTAGTCAATAATCTCTCTCTGGTGGTGATAATTTTCTGTGTAGCATTATCCACCAAGGTAGGTCCCAACAATTGCCTTTCACCAACCTCATACCAGCGCAAAGGAGATCTACAATTCCTTCCATACAAAGCCTCATACGGAGCTACTCCTAAACTATAATGATAACTATTATTTTATGCAAACTCCATGAGCGGAAAATAATCATCCCAATTACTTCTCCACTCCAAAGCACAAGCCCTCAACATATCCTCAAAGGTCTGAATAGTCCTCTCCAATTACCCATCTGTACCTGAACTAAAATTTAAACGAGTACCCATAGCTGGCTGTAACACACCCTAAAACTTAAACACAAAACGAGGGTCTCGATCTGACACTATCGACACAGGTGCACTATGTAACAATCTCCTTTACATATAGTTATGCAAAACGAGCTCTAGAATGGTTCATATGTACTGCAATAAAATGGGCTAACTTGGTTAATCTATCAACAATTACCCAAACTGCATCATGATTACTACTAGTACGAGGTAATCCACACATGAAGTCCATGGTAATATGATCCCACTTCTACTTTGGTATAGATAAGGGTTGTAGTTTCCCTTCCCCGCGGGTTTCTAATGTTCTACCTTAACCTGTTGACATACTAAATATTGAGCCACAAATTTTGCAATATCTCTCTTCATACCATTCCACCGAAAATTTTCACGAAGATCTTAATACATCTTAATGCTTCTAGGATGAATATTGTAACGAGAACTATGTGCCTCCATCATAATCTCATTCTTCAAATCACCATCAACAGGAACAATAACTCGGCTACAAAATCTAAGCAATCCATCATCACTAACCACAATGTGCCTGTTTGGTGCAGCTTAAAAACTGCTTATTTCAGCTTTCAGCTTAATTTAAGCTATTTTGATGTATTTGGTTTAGCTTAACAATGCAGCTTATAGCTTTTTGTAAGTCAGAAATCAGCTTATTCTTTGAGTGGGGCAGGAGATGCTTAATTTATAAGTCAGAAATCAGCTTATGTTCATAGTTATGAGCTATAAGCTGTTAAGGCATAAGCTATAAGCACTTTCCCACAGCTCTACCAAACAGGGCTATTACATGCTTACCCTCTGCCACACTAGAGGTCAATCTCTTGAGCTAAACGAATCCGTTTTCTCAAGGTCGGCTGAATTGCCGACTAACTATAATAAGCCCTATCGCTAGGTGTAACAACCTCAAGCCTCAAATGTCTTATGTCTTCCACCAAACAAATCTCAATGACAAAGCAGCTACATCTCCAACTGTGACCTTCCTACTCAAGGCATTTGCTACCACATTTGCCTTTCCCAGATAATACAAAATAGTTACATCATAATCTTTTAGCAACTCAAGCCAAATACTTTGTCTCAAATTTAGTTCATTATGTATGAAAATATACTTTAAACTCTTATGGTCAGTGTAAATCTCACATAACTCTCCATACAAATAATGTTGCCAGATCTTAAGAGAAAAAATCACTGTTGCTAACTCCAAGTCGTGCGTAGGATAATTTCTCCTATGTACTTTCAACTATCGCAATAGATAAGTAATCACTTTCCCATGTTGCATAAGCACACATCCTAAACCTTGCCGTGAAGCATCACTACAAATCACAAAACCACCCTCATCAATAGGTAAGGCAAGGATTGAAGTTGATGTTAATCTCTATTTAAACTCTTGAAAAACTATTCTCATAATCATTATTCCACTCAAACTTTACCCATTTCCTGGTGAGATCAGTAAATGGCAAAGCAATATGGGAGAACCCTTCCATAAACCTTCTATAATATCTAGCAAGCCCTACAAAGCTGCGTACCTCTATCATAGAAGTAGGTCGTGGCCAATCTGCCGCCACCTTCATGCTATCCACAGATACCCCATCTTAACTCACCACATAACCCAAAAATGATACATTGCTCAACCAGAATTCACACTTTTTAAATTTTGCATACAATCTCTTCTCCTTAAGGATTTAAAGTACTACCCTCAAATGCTACTCATGCTCCTCCTTACTCGAATAAATTAGGATGTCATAAATAAACACCACCACAAATTTATCCAACTGAGGTTTAAATACTCTTTTTATCAAATCCATGCATGCAACTGGTGGATTTGTAAGACCAAAAGGCATCACTAAGAACTAATAATGCCCATAACGAATTTTAAAAGCTGTCTTAGGAAAATCCTCGTCCCTCACCTTCAACTGGTAATAGCCTAACCTCAACTCAATCTTAGAGAATACCTGAGCTCCCTGCAATTGGTCAAATAGGTCATCCATGCATGGCAAAGGATACATATTCTTCACTGTGACTTTGTTCAGTTCCCTATAGTCAATACACAACCTCATAGACCCATCCATCTTCTTCACAAACAACACAAGTGCTCCTCAAGGTGAAACACTAAGCCTAATAAAACCTTTGTCTAACAACTCCTGTAATTGAGTTTGTAACTTCCTTAACTCTAACGGTGCCATACTATGGGGTGCTTTAGAGATAAGTGTTGTATTGGGGACCAAGTCAATAGAAAATTCTACCTCACGGTCTAAAGGAATAACAAGTAGTTCCTCTGGGGAAAAAAAAACACTAACAAATTCTATCACCACAGGCAATTCCTCTAACTTCTGCTTTGACTGTTCGGTGCTAACCACACAAGCTAAGTAACCCTAATACCCTTTCCTCAACATTCGGTTAGCTAAAGAGAAGAGATGAAACAGATAGAAGACCCTTTCCTATCTCCTTAAAAGAAAACCTCATGTTATCCTAGCATAGCAAAAACTACCCTCTTTCTAAAACAATTAGTAGAGGCATGATGCTTCATCAACAAATCTTCCCCAAAATCATGTCAAAATCCTTCATCTCTAAGGAAATCAAATCCACTGGAAAAATCATACCATCCAAGTCTACCTCACAAGATATACAAACATCTTTCAATACTACTGTTTCTCATAATAGAGTAGACACGAGGATACAAGCATTCAAAGGCTCACAAGGAATAGACAATCTATGTAGATATCTAGGTGCAAACTCTTAACCTTCAAAATGAAATCAAGAAGGATTCAACACAAGTTTAAACAAAACTAACTAAACCACACACTACTAAGGACTCAACGGATTCAGAACTCGTCTAAATGATGAAATGCAAGATATGTAACTCGGTAAACCTACGTCTCTAATACCACAATTGTTACACCTAAAATCTAGGCATGACTGGCTGTGGCCCATAGCGATCTAGCCCAAGACACACGTAAGCCTAAGCACGAACACAATATCACAAAGAATAAATGTAATGATAGTCCAGAAATAAATAAATCAAAACCCAATCCAGTTACAAATCACAAGTATAAACGACAAAACCAACTCTAATCAATACCATCGAAACCAATGGGATATAAACATCCCAGATAATAGAATAATCCTAAATGAACCTCAAAAAAAAAAATATGCACAAAATTGACATAACAATCTGAAAAATAAACATAAAATATATATATATATATATATAAATGTCTAGAGGTCCATGTAATTGAGTTCCCGCTATGCCATGAGTCCACTCTAAGTCCTTCTATCACTTGGAAATGATAAATAACTAAGTCAGCTGATAGCTCAGCGAGTAAAAGCATGGACAGTAAATACAGTTTTAAAAAAACAGGGTTCAATTCCAAAATAAGATATATATCACAGAAACTAGATTGACATACAATTTTGATAAAGACAATTTGTTTAAAAAAGAAGGTTCCACAGTTCAATAGTTAAAATACTCATGTCTCTCAAGAATATAACAAATGACATTCTCCACTTAAAACAAATTACAACATGATCATCAATAATTTTCTGGATACCAAGAATAACAAGTAAAACGCCACAAAATTCTCAAGGCAATAAGCCCGTTGGATTCAATATCGAACCAAGAGTCATCCTTGGGGTGGCAGCCCGACCTTTTCTCTAAGACGATCCAATTGAAGGTCGCCTAGCCTAACCCATGTCTTTTCCTTACAATCATTGAGCACTAGAGTCATCACAGATTCACAGCCTAACCTGGATCTGTTCCCCAATGGCCAAAGTCACCACACACAGTGGAATAATTTCCCTGAACTTTTATATACAGATGGTCTCAATAATCAATACAATTCAATTTCACAAAACATAGGAGTTCACCAAGTTTACATATATTTCAGAAATAATTTAATTTTATTAATAATATAATAATTTATCAAAACAATTTAGTCTTGAAATAACAATTTAATTTTCCAATAGTTCGGGGTGGAGGAACATTTATAAAAATATGTAGCATGCAACTACTCACCTGAACACGGTATAATATAATCCTCAAACCAAATAGGAAAGTCCAACTAGTGCCTTGAACCAAGTACGAAAACTACATGTCACTAGTAACTCAAAAATACTAAAAAAGAATAAGAAACTAAGTAACCCAAGCTAAATCACACTATCACAGCTCATTCAACTCACCGTTACTATTAAATAATACCTAAGTTCATGTTCTTCAAGGTCTAAAATTACCCAAGACATGGGTTCAGATCGAAAGTTAATTAAAAGTAACTTTAAGATAAAACAGAATTTTAAATAATAAGTTTTCCCAATCCATTTGCTAAATTTGAAAATTAAAAACCCACTCCGCATTATTAGAAAAATTCCAAAACCCTCCAAATATCAACTAATATATCCTAAGTTTCAAATCCAGTTGGTTTTACTTGATTTGCTTTTCAAAATAATTATTTACAATTAATTATATCCAAATAAGGTCGTTTTCTGTAGCACTTTAAAGAAATTAATGGTTCTCTTAGTATACCCGAGCAATCAATGCAAGGCCAAAAATGTAAGAAACAAGACTCATAACTGGTTCTAATGACATTGATTTGATAATTTTTTGATTTATACCTAAAGAGAGTGACACTTCCGATGTTACTATTTTGTACTAGTTTCCTAGACAGATTTGAATGCATCCGTTTATATGGATTTTGACTCCCACAAATTATGAAAAAAATTCGAATATGAAATACAATATGTGATAAAGTTATAGTAAAAATTTTAGTTCAAAATTCATTCGTTTAATATGGTTTCTTGATTTCTAAGGTTTGTGATTCTGTGTAGAATTTTTAGATAAGAATTACACCCATTATTTATGCACAAATTACCTCCTCGGGTTTCTTTACAATATATATATATATACAAAATACATACACCTACAACCTCTACATAAATGAATTGAATAAAAAAAATGAAGAAGGATTAAAAAACAAAGCAAGAAGAGAAGAAAACCTAGGAATGACAATATGAACCCAGCTCGATGGGGACTCTGACCGCCCTATCCCGATAAGTCGGGTTTTCTCCGTAAATTACCTCCATAGGGCGGGGGCGGGGGCTGGTGTTGAAAAATGGATCCCTGATGGTTTTTGGGCCAGGGACGGTGATTGGTTCCCAGGCCCCGGCCTCACCCTGAATGTTCTCCAAACAATCCCCATATATATATATATATACTTAAGGCTCTGCTTTTCGTTACCCATCTCTCTCTCTCTCTCTCTAACAATGTATTCTGCCCTCAACCCTCTTCTTCATCTTCATCTTCATCTTTTTTACTCCCTCCTCCGAAGATAACTCCCAGATCATCCACCACCACTCTTACTCCGTCATCGTCGGCCTTTCCTCCCGATTCACCCACTCTAATTCCCTCCCTTTCAAGTCCTTTGACCCTATTCTCTATTCCGATAGCTCCGAAGAAGATGAAGACGAGATTATTGGAGAAGGAAATATAAAGACGAAGACGATTCTGATAGCTTCGAACCATCCCTGTTGATTTTGAAGGTGAAATCGGCTTCGATGATCTTGATCTGTTGTTGTTGTTGCTACTGTTTTTTTTTTGTGCCGGGGAATGTTTAGGGTTGGGAAAACCCGATCCCGTTAGGGGCGGGGGCGGGGACGAGGACGGTGATAGGTTCCCTGTCGAGGGATCGGGCCGGGGACGAAGGAATTTTCACCATCAGGGATCGGGGACGGGGAGTGTGATCCCCAGCCTCGCCCCGGCCCATTGCCATCCCTAAGAAAACCTAAGAGGCCACACGACACAACACACCCAAAGCTCTTTTTCTTGGCTACAACAATAATCTTTATGATTGAATTACTCCTCTCTTTCCTTCATAAACCCACGACTGCCAGGCTACTAGTGTTATGGAAAATAATTATAACAAGAGTTAGGGTTTTTGTTATCTTTATATACATAACCAACAATCCACTTATTATTATTATTATTATTATTATTATTATTATCTAACATTATTACTATTGTTTATTTTAATAGTAAATCTTGCCTCTAAATTAAAAATTTCCACCATATATTTATTTTATAGTATAGAATTAATCAAAATACCCTCCAATAGTATTTAATTTGCACTTTAAGATTCACAAGTAAAATATGTGAGATTGTAAAATTATTATTATTTTATTATTTACTTTATTTTTATATTCTGGTTATCACAGTCTAATCATTTATAGCTATATAATGGCCATTCAGTTAACTCATAACAGATAATCAGACTTATTAGATATTCAAAACGACATTGTGTCTATCTTGTGAAATATACGGAACTACCTTGGGTCCATTGCAAATATACAGAACAACCTTAGGTCCATCATACACATTCGTGTCACATCAATCATATTTACAGATATCATGTTGATCGGACAAATAGAAACTCGTTCACACTTACAAAATCATAAGTTCGGAAAACATACCACAGTAGGATATACAGAAAATAGAGTAATTAAGAAAGTATCTTTACTAAAATATTACTCACAGCGATTCAGTTGTTGACTCGTTCTCGTGGATGATCCTACATAATTCATAAATGTACACACATTGAATTATATTGCTTAACCAGATTGTCCTTTAACTTATTCAATTCTTTTAGGCTTCATCCTAACTCTTTAATTCATTTAGGATATTCAATTCATGCCTAAGAACGCTTAGAAAGGAATGAGAATGTCAAAATGAGTAAAACATTTAAAATATGTTGAAACAGGGCAGTTCGCTCGAGTGCAACATTGGTCGCTCGAGCAGACCACATGGTCTGTAAAAGTACTGGATGGTCCGAATCTAGGCTTGATGTTTGCTCGAGCCAAGGTACAATTAAAAGGCGATCACTCGAGTGGTGACTTGGTCACTAGAGCTAACTGCAAATCTCTACAAAACTTCTGGATGCATGAAATGTGCGCTCAAGTGACAGGTTGTTCGCTCGAGAGGTGGAGCAGAATTCTGGAATTTACATAACAGAATTGAACCTCCAAAACTTGTGTTTTCAAATCAAAATCTTGCATGGCTTGTATACAACTTTGCAAACACTTAAAA